TCAATTAAAATTATATAAACTGATTTAGATTAATTAAAAGTACTCAAAGAAACTTGTTGCTTCAGCAACTATTAATTAATTCATTAAAAAAATCCTTTAATAACTTTTTTGTCATTTATTAATTTTTTAACTTGAAATAATTATTTAAATATTATTAAATATAATTTCAAAAATTTTATGGCTTATAAAAGCTCTCACATATAAAAGTAATAATAAAAAAAATTTAATGTATTGATGATCCAGAAAAAATGAACCAAATCTAATTGCTTTATTACTTAAGAAAATAAGAAATCTTTTTAATAAGATAACTGAAAAATTTTAAGTAATATTTAATATTTTGTTTAGAATGCATCTAATTCATATAGAAAGAGAATAAATGGAAAATATTGATATTTAAAAATATAAAATAAGAATTATTTTGAGATGTATATTTATTAGAAGGAAGTTATAGAAAGAAGTTATAAATTATAAATCTCTACTTAAGATATAAAATACTTAAGGCTTTATAAATTACCCAAATTTAAATAATATTTAGTATTAATTTAAGCTGGGAGAATAATACATTTACTTTAGTCGATATACGTGTTCAATTTGTGTGATTTTTTAATAAATTTATTATCTTAAACAATCAGATGAAACCAAGATATTTCTTGAGAGGAGGAGGCTGTGGCACTTCAAAAATAAATCCTTATTAGTTATCTAATTAAAAAGTAGATAAGGATGTATATGATTTCTTTTCAAAATTCAACCAATATATTAATATAATATGTTTAAAAGCTACAGTTGCTTCAAATTAATACGAATCATAAGAAATTATGATAGCCATATAGTGGTTTATATTATAAGAGGAGAACATTTATAAACTTAATAAGAATGTAGAAAGTGTAAAGAAATCATATGATTTAATCTTAGATGGAATTAGAAAATTACTTAAAAGTTGTCTAATTTATATAAAAACAGACTCATTTATATGTTTGTATATTTTATAGATTACTGCTTCATTATCTAAAGTAATATTTAGTTTCCATATAATGAATGAAGATAGATTCATGAAATGTGTTATTTAAAATGAATTTATAGAAATCTCTGATGATTTAAAATAATAAATAGAGATTGAGAAGAATGATTTGTTTCAAAATTAAATGGAATTTTTCCTTTTCTTAACGAAAACCTCTTTTTAGATAGCTCCAAATAATTCAAAAGAGAAAGAAGAAATATTAAAAGGATGCTTAAAAGGAATAATTAGTTCAATTGTAAAAATGAGCCCTGATACAGAATTACTTGATTCTTTATTTAAAGGAGCTTGCCTTCTTTACACTATTTACAATATAAATTAAAAAAGAAAATAATACGAGGTTTATTATCAAATAGATATGTTATAATGGGAGATTATAGAGTACTTTAAGTATGAAAAATATACAAACCTTGAATAAATTATATCATAATTAGATGCAATTTATGAAAAATTAGTGAAATTTTCAAATAATTGAAATGATCATTATTGCTGGATTTAAATGATAGGGAAAATGTTAATTTATAACCCTTAAATTAATAAAAAAAAATTTCATGATTTGTTAAATTCATCCTAAAATATTTCAAATATTGGAAGAAACTCATTAAATTTTATATGGAGTGATTTACTTAAGAAAAAAATTGTTTTTTTATTTAATAAAAATAATAATGATTAAGGAATCATTTTATTTGATTAACTTGAAAATAATGAATTAAATGAAATTGATAAAATGATAATAGAATCATGCTTTATAGGATGGGAAAACTTTATTATATTTAAAGAATATTTAATGGATGATTAAAGAATGTCTTCATATTAAACTAAATCTTATACATTAGGAGCATATATAAAGAGTAAATTAGATATTGGTGAAGAAAATTTTAAGAAAAATGAAGATTTTGTAATTTTAGATAGGATATAAAAATTATATAGTTTTATCTTATCAAAAGAAATATAAAATTTAATACAATAAAATGATAAAAAACTTGAAGTTGCAGTTAAGAATTTGTAAAGTTTTATGAGAAATAAGATTGTTAATGTAAAAATTACTTAAAGTACTTATAGATAATAAATTAAATAAATAATAAGTAATTTTTAAGATTATTTATAAAACACAATAAAAATTATCAAATTTTTTAATATTAATTAAAAATAAATTTATGGCATCATCAAATAATTCTAAGGAAGAATTTAAAAAGAAATTATTGAATCGTCATAAATAATATATTTGATGAAACTATTACTATCGATTATATAATTATAAATTTAAGATATAAAATAAG